GGTACGTATGGCCATCAATTCTATGGTACCTTTGGGGAGTTTCGAGTGCAATGCCGTCGTAGGCTAGGCCACACTTTATCCTCGGCTACCAGGGGAAGATGTTCAACGTCGGTTTTAGATGTCAGAGCTGACGGCTATGATCCAGGATATAAGCTTCCAAGGGTCTGGGTTCACCTGTGGCTCCGCACATGGATGGAAAAACCCGGTATTCGGCCCGTCGTTCGCGGAGCTTGGCCACGGATCGGTTCACTCTTTCGGCAACTTGCCTGTAGACAAGTGGCGCGAGCAGTCCGTAGCCCCATCTCGGCAGTAGGAGCGTATTTTTTGGAAGTTGGCTGGGGCCCCATTTCTTCGACATATTGGCACACACCACCTGATGATGAAGGGCCAGGTGCGATTTGGATAGTTCCCCATGAGGCCGTATCTCGTTCTGAAGATGTCAGTGGTTTGGTTCAGGAGTTTGAGATGTCAGTCCGCAGTGCACTTTGGGAGAGTGCCAGTCGACACTTCTGTGGGGAGGGATTGCAGCGTGGCGCCGACAGCCAGTCATATCGGCAAGTTTTGCGTGCGATGGTTGATGTCCCTCGACACGGCGCCAACGTGTCCGAGACGCCGTTTGCAATTGCAGTCAGAGGGACGTGGCCACGGTCTCGCATCAAGGATGAGACTACGCCCACAGAAAATGATATTTGTAAGCGCCGCGGTCATGATCGCGAGGCGCCCTTGCACCGAGGCTGGCTCTGGGAGAACAAAAAACCGACGTCAGCACCAAGAAAGTAATTTGTTCCGCGGAAATTAGAATTGCGTTTTGGGCCAACGCGACCCCGCCCCGGCCTGAGGAAACGCAGAGCGGCCGGGGAGGGCGGGGGAAGGGAGACGTCGCGCAGCAGGTAGGAGGGAGAGCAGGAAACAACATGTGCAAGCGAGAAGCGAAACTGGCGGGCGCTCTCGGGAGACTAGGGAGAAAAGAAGGACGAATGCGGTATCCTCCATGATCGAAGCCTCACCCCCCCCACCGCCGCCCTCCCCCACGCTCCCCCCCCGCCCGCTCGTCCCCCTCATATGCCCCTCCCCCCTCCCCACACCCGCCCCTGTCCGCCCGCGTCGCATCCCTGACCCTCGATTTGCCCGAAGCCAGCACCCGACGATTCCGAACCGCCTACTCCCCGCGAAGGGGGGCGGCGGCCGCCCTGCGCGTCTGGGGCCAAAGACCGTGGCTCCCTCTTGACCCGGGCCCGCAGCCCCTGGCAAACTTCCGAAATCGTCGAGGGGTTCAGCTCGCCCATGGGGCCGCAGTACCAGAGGGGACCTTGGTGCTGGTGTCTGCTTTTTGATGTTGCAGGGAACGAAGATCCGGCACCAGCACCAAGACGCCACTGGAGAAGTTGGGAGCGCTTTCCCTGTGGGGGCTGAGCGGCCCAAAGGAGCCTGGAAAGCTTGAGATGGCTCGCATTGCTCTCCGAATCTGCAGGCCATGGGGCTTGCATGATAGAAAAGCGTCCCATGGGGCTCATGGCGCCCCTAGGGCCCATGGGGCTTCCATGGTCCCCGGGGTTCGCAAGGCCCAGAAACCCGATGTGGCCCTGACGAGTCAGGGAGCCCATGGGGCCCGCGCGGCTCGCTAGGCCAGCGCGGCGCAGTGGGCCCATGCGCGCTGCGGCGCACGTGCGGCCCAAGACACCTCTGTGGGACTCGTGGGCTTCGTCGGGCCAGCTGGGCTCGCACGGCCCACGGGCCTCGCGCGGCCCCTGGAACTCCTGACGCCCACCCGGGGACACAGGGAAACGGCCAACGCGGGACACGCGAGCCCGAAGACACGGGCGACGGCAGCCGACGGACGCCACGACTTTTTTGATTTCCACTGGGGCCTCGGTGTCGGTGGCGGGCTCTGGTGCGCCGAGGCTCTGCCCCTGGAGCACAGGGAATATCCGGTGCACGAGCAAGGCAACCGCCTCGTATCCTGTGCCATGTCAGGCCGGGGCTCGGAGGCCTGCTTCTTTTTTTAATCCGATCTGCTGACTTCTCATGCGCGTGCTCGCCCCGATTAAAAAAATACAGAGATTGGGTGCGACTTTGATCACAAAAATGGTGCACGACACGGCTGCGCGTATTGATCGCGAAATGGCGTGGCGTTGTGTATGGTCACGTTGCTCCTGGTTCCGTGGTGTCATTCATACCCGCCCCGTGGACCAAAATCGAGCCACCGCTGTCTCAGGAGCCTTGGGCAATGCTTCACTCCGAGGTGTGAGCTTCCCGAAGTTGCCGGGCCAGGTTTCGGGTCTTACGAACACCCGGCAGCGGTTTTCGGCGACGCGAGCGGCGGCGAGGACAGTCGCGACCCTCGGCGCCGACGTGTCGGAGCTGCTGCCGCCACTCTTGCGAGCCACGACGTGCCTGCCGTTCAGTCAGCAGTCTTCGGAAGGCCCCCTGGGCCTGTTCAAACGGTAGCTCGTGGGGAACTCTGGGGGCTCCTACAGTCGGGACGTTGACCTAAGGAACCCAAAATAAGGAACGAGGCACCTTTTTCCCATCAATTAAAGTTCGATTTCCCATCAACCTAACGAAAACCTAAGGCAAGCTGTGAAACAATCAAGGAACACGGAGACCCTCCCCAACGAAAAGGGTTCCTTCTTCAGCGCCCCGACTGTACTGGCTATCAGACATGCTTCTGGACATTTGGTGTACGCGTCGGATAACAGCTCGGTCGTCGACGGGTGGCTTCAAAGGCGGTATACGGACCCAGGTGGTTCCAACGGCGACGTTTGGAAACTGATCGGCTCGGCCCTAGGTGGCCGTGATTTATCACAGATCTCTGTCTTGCAGGTCCCCTCCCACTTCGAGCCCGAGGAGATCGCCTCGTACAAGATCCCAGAATGGTTGATCGTTGGCATCATTGTCGCCGACTCTTTCGCCAGTATCGCCGCCGGCCAGTGTCCGTGTCTCCTTCGAAACCCGAACACGTATCGTCACGGTGGAGAAAGAAGCAAGATTGGTCCGCAGGCGTCTCCTCCGAGCGACGCTCGAGGCCGTGGCATGTGCTCCTGCGGAGTCCCGTGCTACGTGTACCACGTGGTGCGGCCCCCCCCCTCCTCCCCCCCCTGCCCCCAGCATCGTGTCTGTCTTCGAGTCGAGCCATCAGCTCGACGAGAGTCGCCGCAGGTGCCGCCACTGCTTTGGATCCGCTTCCGAGGCAGCCGCCACCCTCTGGCGTACGAGTCCATGCTGTCCCGCCGTTAATGTAGAATGTGTTGTGTATCAGCTGTCGAGGGGGCTACAAGTGCACATTGGAGGGATTCACGAATCTCATTCGATGGTATATCACAGCAGCTTGAAAGTCTGGCTGTGTAAGACGTGCGGTTTCTTCGGGAGCCAGCAGTTGAGGCCGTCCTTGGCCCAACCATGTAATCAGCCCCTGAGTGCCACTCGCAAGAGGTAGATTCAGAATTTCGATTGCGGGCAATGGCCCAAAAATCAAGATACGGACTCGAGTCGAGCTAAGCGCTCGTAGCTCGCGTCCGTGTTGTCTGTCATATCGCACCGCGATAGGGCCGATTCCGATTCCGATTCCTCCTCCTCCTCCTCCTCCTCCTCCTCCCGGTTTCCTCCTCCTCCTCCTCCCGGTTTCCTCCTCATCCTCCTCCTCCTCCCGGTTTCCTCCTCCTCCTCCTCCTGGCCGCGGCCTCCGCGCTGCCGGCGGGCTCGCCGCTGCCGCGCTTCTCGCGCCGCCACGCCTCGTCCTCTGGCTGCGGCGGCGGCCCTCCGGGCGACGCCTAGGGGTAGGGGGGGGAGCTTTGCCGTGGGGTGTCACAGCAGGGTGAGGTTTAGGGCAGGGCAGGAGCTTCGCCACAAGACGGGCGGCTGTCCTCTGGGCGACACTTGGGCGAAGGGGGGTTGGGGAGGATTTGCCACAAGACGACGGCAGGGTGAGGTCAGGACGGGTGGTGGGGGAGGAGCTCGCCGCAAAGCGGTGGCTGTCCTCAAGGCGACGCTGGTAGCTTTGCCACAGGACGACGGCAGGGTGAAGCTAGGTTTGAGCGGCCACATATCGGGAATCTCTGAGAGCCAGCTTGTCAGGGATGAGGAAAGGAGGGGGGGCAGGAGGAGAAGGAGGAGGAGGAGGAAGAGGAGGAGATAGCAGATCAATGGCCGAGAGGGGATGTGGCGTTGCCACACTCCCTCGCAGAAGGAGGAGGAGGAGCAGGAGCAGGAGGAGGAGGAGCAGAAGGAGGAAGAGGAGGCGTAGGAGTAAGCGCTATAGGGCGATGCCCAACCTTCCCTCCACGTTGGAACCCCTTTCAGGGCTCGTCTGGCCAACTCGGATTCGCTGTGAACCTTAGGCCAAATACCTTCCTGAATACTAGTTTTAAGTCGGACGTGTCCCCCTACAGGGGGATTTTCAACGAAAAATAAAACATACCCCCAAAATGCCCCCCAAAAGGCCAACAAATAGTGCAAAATAGTCCCTAACTATTTTTTGAATATTTTTTTGACTATTTTGAGGGTATTTTGAATTTTTCGTCGAAAATCCCCCTGTAGGGGGACAGGCCCGACTTAATACTAGTTGAATAACCTGCACGGGTGGGGCGGCATTGACCAGACCTTTCCGACCCATCCCCAAAACTGCCGGCTGGCAACTTGCCGCACGTTGCGCAAGCATCAAACATTCACATCCTGAGGATGCCGTGGCAATTCGTACCGTGTGCCCAATCCCCAGCGATGTGCAACTCCACCCCTGAGGAAGAACCCCTAGGACTGGCCATCGCTCGGACGTCCATTTCCTGTGCTTTTTTCGGTTTCGTGCGTGGTTATTTCGCGAAATGATTAAGGATGCTCCTCGATGGTCCTCGCCGAAGGAAAAATGCACACGTCTGAGCGATGCCAAGAGGAAGCCACCAAACGCTGGGAGCTTAAAGCAGGGAGATCGCCTCCACTTCCCGAGCAAGACCATCGACGAAGAGCCTCGACACCTACGCGCCGAGTCGTCCAGCGCGTGGGCGGGGGCACGGCGGAGGCATCGCATCCCGAAAAGAAGTGCGACACACTGTTGAGCGCCATCTCCTCGCTATACTGCTCCTCGGGGAACGGCCACACTACATCGTCTGCAAGGTGCCAATGCGTGGGGCTCTCAGGTTGCCATCCTCGTCCCAGCAGCGCGAGGAAAATCCATAGGCCCTCTGTCTGGCCCGCTGTGATCTCTTCGACGGCGGCATCGCCTGTAGCCTACGCAGCGCCAGTGGCCACGCTCGACGCACAGCTGGTCTGATATGCGGATGCGCGAACCACTGCCGCAGCCAGAGGGCGGCCACCCCGCGAAGAAGCTTGATGCCAGGGCCTTGGCCTGGCGCTCTGACCGACAACAAAGATGTGATGCACAATCCCTTGCCGCCTGCATAGCCCACTGCCGCCAGACTCCGCCTGCGCTGTTGCGACCGTTGTCCGCATGTGCCGTGAAATAGCCGGATCGTACTTGCTTGCTGCCTGCGCTCCCACTCTCTAACCGAGACTTGACGTGATATCGCTTAGACGCATGTGCAACCCCCTGCCACTTTGGTGTGTAGCTTCTTGTGTCTGAGGCCTCGCTTGGCGCAAACCTCCCTCGCCGCGCGTCTACCTCCTCCTTGGCCAATGCCCAATGCCCAAGGAGCTTGCTTGCAAACGTGTCTGGGCGATGTGCCCTCACTTCCTCAACCTCGGAACAATATCCTTATCGTCGCTGTGATGGGAGTACGCCGCGCAAGACTTGGGACCAATCTTGAGACGGACCTTGGCCAACTCATCAGCCGCGTCCGCCAAACACTCAATCAACCAAACCTTGATGGTCGTTCTGGAACCAGCCAAGCCAGATCATCCACCCCAACACGATCTTGTAAGATCCTGGCTGTTGCATGCTGCTTCACTCGGTTCGCAAATCGGAAGGAGCACGATCTACCTTTGCTTGACTGGAAAATTCCCCCCCCCCCCCCCCCTTTTCCCCTTCCCCCCCCCTCCTGAAACCGGGGGGGGAGGTCAGGTCCCCTCCCGCCCTTCCCGGCCAGCAACCGGAACTGCGGGGGGGAACCGTCCCTGCGATGGACCTGGGAGAATCCGAGCGGGAGGGGGTGGGGGGCACCCCCCACTGGTTCGAACCAAAAGAGGGGGGGAACATTCGGGGATGGACAGACCTCCCTTTAGTAAAACGTGGTTTAGTGAAAGTGAAAACGACCTCGGGCCCAAACCTGGCGGGCGCAAGCCTGGAAAATAACGGCCGCGGCTCCCTTTCGAGAACCGAAAATGGACAATTCACTAATCGACGTGTCAGGGTGGGGGTTCTGTCCACCCCCGAAACATTCCCCCCCCCACTTCCGGGTCGAACCGAGGAAGGCAAGGGTAGCGTCGGGCCGGGTCTGGGGCCGGGGCAGGGGTCAGGGCCGGGGCCAGGGCCGCCTTTGTTTGAGCATTGTTGGAGCTTTGTTTGGGCTTTGGTTGATTTTGAGCTTTGTGTGAGCTTTGTTTGATCTGTGCTTGAGCTCTAATTGTTTTGAGCTTTGTTGGAGCACTGTTTGAGCGCTGTTTAAAGTAAGCCATGTTTTAGCTTTGTTTGAGTTTTGTTCAATATTGTTTGAGCGTTGCTTGAGCTTTGTTTGAGCCCTGCTCGAGTTTACGACGACGGCGAAAGGGCGACGGCGACGGCGATGGCGACGGGCGGGACAGTAAATGCAACCTTCACCCAGTGATGGGACAAGATTGGGGAAACATCTGTCACAACCACTGGGGATGCCGTTCGGGCGGGCGGGACATCAAATGTACTATTCACTCAATGCTAGGGCTTTCAGTCGGGCGGGCGGACGGGGAATTGAGTGCAACGTGCACACTGTGATGATATAAGTTTGGGGGAGAAAATATCACGACCGCTGAAGACACCTGTCGGGCGGGCGGGACATTTAATGAAACCTTCACTCAGGCATGGGGCGTCATCATCGTCATCGTCCTCGTCATCATCATCATCACCACCACCACCATCACCATCATCATCATCACCATCATCATCATCATCAGCATCATCATCATCATCATAATCATCATCATCGTCATCATCATCATCATCAGCATCATCATCACCACCACCATCATCATCAGCATCAGCATCAGCATCATCACCATCACCATCACCATCACCATCACCATCATCATCATCATCATCATCATCAGCATCAGCATCAGCATCAGCATCAGCATCATCATCATCATCATCATCATCATCATCATCATCATTATTCCCATCATCATTACGTCATCAGCATCATCATCATCATCAACATCCTCATTACCATCACCATCGTTATCGTCATCGCCATCATTAACACCACCATCATTATCATCGTTGTCATTATCATCGTCATCATCAACATAATCATCATCATCATCGCCGGTAGCCCAGGACGGCCTCAGATGCCCCCGTATGTGCCCATGGGGGGGGGGCCCGGCTCATGCGAGAAGGGCGACGTAATGCACCACCATTCGAAATATGCCTCCCTTGCCTCACTTTCCCCACTTGCCGCGCCAGCCCGCGCAGACTCGAGCTTTGCTTGAGATTGATTGGAGCTTCGTTAGAGCTTTGCTTGAACTTAGTTTGGTCTTTGTTTGAGCTGTTTGGGCTTTATTCGGCCGAGATGGAGGACCAGGAGGAGGAGGAGGAGGAGGAGGAGGAGAAAGTGGGAAGTGGGAGGAGGAGGAGGAGGAGGCGGAGGAGGAGGAGGAGGAAGAGGAGGTGAGGGAGAAGGAGGAGGAGGACCAATTCAAACCCAAGACGCATCCACTGTGAAGCAATAAACACTCCCTCCAAATTCCCGCTTCGTGGGTCCCTACAAGAACGCATAGTATGTATCCATTGCGGGAAGTGACCCATTGGTAGACAACGTCCTGAGAATCCTCACGCGTGCCAGAGCATCGGTCCGGGGACTCCAGCGCCGCGAATCAACGTGACTGTTGCGCCCTGGCAATCCCAAGCCGTACCAAAAACCTTTCTTGGGATTTCAGCATCGCGACTCAACGTGACTGTTGCGCCCTGTCAATCCCTAACCGTGCCAAAACACCATCCCTGGAACTTCAACCATGCGGATCCGTGTCACGGTTGCGAACGTTCAAGACGAATGTGCGCAGCGCACAAGCGAAAGTCACGTTTCGAAGCAACCAACTCCATACTTGACGCTGCTGCAAACTTTGAGACGACTGCACTTTGAAAACCACCCTACGGCAGGTTCGTGTCGTGCCGACCCCAGCGTTGGTTTCTGACACCGCAGGGATCGTTCCACCTTGAACGATCGGCCGTTCCCGCAACGTCCAATCGTTCAACATTGACCGATTCTACGTCGCCGCCGGCGTTCAATATTGAACGCCGCCGGCAGGGTCGCCGCCGGTCGACACGACGCGAACCTGCCGTACCCTCCATCCATCCGTTGAGCTGTTGCACACTCTTGGGGCGAGCGTGCGCGGCGCTGAAATCTGCAGACGGCCCGCCCTCCGTCCGTGAAACGACTGCTCCTGCGACGAATGTGCGCGGCGCTGGCGCGCGGATGGAGGAGGGGAGGGAGGGAGGGAGGGAGGGAGGGAGGAGGAAGCAGGAGGAGGAGGAGGAGGAGGAGGAGGAGGAGGAGGAAGGAGGAGGAGGAGGAGGGAGGGAAGGCCGGGGGCGGCGAAGGAGACGCAGAAGTGGAGGAGCCGCCGCAGCGGTGGCGTCAGGAGCAGCCGCCTCCGAGCAGCTGCAGCACGCCGAGGGGCCGACTCGAGGCAGGGAGGAGGGAGGGAGGGAGGGAGGGAGGGAGGGAGGGAGGAGGGAGGATGAGGAGGATGAGGAGGATGAGGAGAGGAGGAGGAGGAGGAGAGGAGGAGGAGGAGGAGGAGGAGGAGGAGGAGCGTGGAGGAGGAGGAGGAGGAGAAGGAGGAGGAGGAGGAGGAGGAGGAGGAGGGTGAGGGAGGGAGGGAGGGAGGGAGGAGGGAGGGAGGGAGGGAGGAGGGAGGAGGAAGGAGGAGGAGGAGGAGGAGGAGGAGCAGGAGGAGAGGAGGAGGAGGAGGAGGGAGGGAGGGAGGGAGGGAGGAGGGAGGGAGGAGGAAAGCAGGAGCAGGAGGAGGAGGAGGAAGAGGAGGAGAGGAGGAGGAGGAGGAGGAGGAGGAGGAGGAGGAGGAGGAGGACGTCCTGGTCCGCATCCCCGCCTCCTCCTCGCTGCAGCCGCCGCGCTGGCGGCACCGTGCCTCTCCTGGGCACGTGCGCGGCCCCTCGTGGCAGTGACGTTGCCCCCCCCCCCCCCCTTGCGCTCCGTCCGCGGGGGGAGGAAAGGGGAAGAGGAGGAGGAGGAGGAGGAGGAGGCGAAAGGGGCGGAGAAGGGGAAGAGGAAGAGGAGGAAAGGGAAGAGGAAGAGGAGGAAAGGGGAAGAGGAAGAGGAGGAAAGGGAAAGAGGAGGAGGAGGAGGCGAAGGGGCGGAGAGTGGGGAAGGGCACCCGACGCAGCAATGCCCTCTCTTTTGTTGTTGTTGTTGTCGTCGCCGTCGTCGTTGTTGTTGTTGTTGTTGTTGTTGTTGTTGTTGTTGTTGTTGTTGTTGTTGTTGTTGTTGTTGTTGTTGTTGTTGTTGTTGTTGTTGTTGTATTTGGTTGTCCTCCTCCTCCTCCTGCTCCTCCTCCTCCTCCTCCTTGTATTTCCTCCCCGCCCCCATCGCCCACTCCTCCTGCTCCTGCTCTTCCGCCTGCTGTTATTGCGTCGTGCGCCGTGGGATCCTCGAGTCCGATGGGGGGCCCAAACTGGGCGGGTCGCGCGCGGCCGAACGCGGCCCCCGCGCGACCCGCGCCGGTCAGCCTCCTCTGCCCCCCTCCGCCCCCGCCGCTCCTCCAAGCCCTCTGCATCGTAGTCGTCGTCGTCGTCGCCGTCGTCGTCGTCGTCCTCCTCCTCCTCCTCCTCTCTTCCTCCTCCTCCTCTCCTCCTCCTCCTCCTCCTCCACCGCATCCTTCCTCTTCTCTCTCCTCCTCCTCTCTCTCCTTCTCCCGTTCTCTCCTCCTCCTTCTCCCCCTCCTCCTCCTCCTCCTCCTCCTCCTCCTCCTCCTCCTGCTCCTCCTCCTCCTCCTCCTCCTCCTCCTCTACCTCGGCTCCCTGCGGTTGCGGCGACCCCCGCCCTCAGGCCGGCCACCGCCGCCGCCACCAGGTTTCCCGGCATTGCGACGTCATTTTTTTTTGGATTGCTTCTACAATTCATTTTCGTTTGTTCGTAACTATCCATTCCTTTTTTGTTGCTTGTATCTTCAACTCGCCCGAACCGTTCGTTATCCCATTCGTTTTTCTCACCGTTGCGTAGTAAGCCCGCGCCAGTCGATCTCCACATTGAATACGAAGGCGATGCGGCTCGCCCCCCCGAATCACGTGAAACGCAAGCGAGTCACCGCTTTCCTTGCTCCCGATTGGCATTCTCGCGGGACGGCGGCGGGCGCGTGCTCGGGGTTTCTAAACCCGACAACTTTCCAGCGGGCGTTCGTTTTCGCTGTCGTAGCCTCTAACTTTCTCGCCTGCGTTTTTTTTTTTTTTTTTTTTTTTTTTTTTTTTTTTTTTTTTTGTTTTTTTTTCCCCCCCCCCCCCGTTTTCGAGTTCCGGTTTCTCGCAGTGCCGGGGGCCAGTACTTGCATACTGCCAGGGCGAACGAGCCCCAGCGGACGCAGGCGCTCGCAATGCGCCCGGCGACGGAGGCCCGCGCGGCGATGACTGCCTGCTGCCAAGAGGCCAGCGCGGAGGCGCGCGACCCGCCGTCGGCCACGACGGCCAACGTGCGGACGGTCACTTGCGCGCTCTCGCCCAGGCGGCCTCCCCGCTCGAGCGCGCGCGCGGGGAGATGTCGAGACTCGCATGGCGTCGCCGCTTGGCTTGGCCCTCTCCTCCTCCGCCGCTGCGGCTCCGCCCCGGCTGACCACTGCGCGGGCCTGGGCCAAGTCGGCGCGCCCGCCGCGGCGACGTCGATGTTCGCGCGCCTGCCGTCGCATGCGAAAACGAAGACCAACGCGCCCCCGGCCTCGTCGTCCGCCGTCGCGCCCGCCAGGGGCGGCGCCCGCGAGCTCTCGAGCCGCTGCCCCTGGAGCGCGCGAGGGCCGATGTGGGCCTGGACGAAGCGCCGCAAGATGCCGCGGATCTCGTCGTGGCGCCCGACAACCTCTCCGCCGATCTTGCACCCCTCTGCGCGCGCGAGTCCGCCAGGGCCACCCAGCTGCGCCGCGCAAGTCTGCGTTTCGGAGCGGTGGCATGAGCTCCGCGGCCGCGCCCAGAAGAGTTCCAGGGCGCCGTCAGGGGTGGTCTCGCGCACCCCGAGGGCCACGGCGTCAATGGTCATCTTCTGCGTGCACTTGTGGGGTTCGGCTCCCGCCCCTGCACCTGCTGCCCCTGCTGCCCCCGCCCCCCCCCGACGCAGCGCGACGGCGGGGGCGGCCAATCCGCGCCTGAGACCGCCCCGCAGAGGGCGGTTCGAGCCCTCTGACCGGCGCCGCCCGCGTCATCTCTGCGGGGCGAGAGCCCGCGTCGGGGCGCAGCGCGGGCCCGAGGCCCAGCGAGTATGCAAAACCAATTACCCAGCCCCCCTAACCCTGATCACGTCCTCTGCCAGGACAGGCTGTGCCAGGGGTTGCCAGACTATGTTGACTGTGAACCTGGCCGGGGGCCTGCCTAGGTTCGCGACTACCTCGCTGGCGAAGGTCCAGGGGGGGAAGGCGGGGGGGGGCCTGGACAGGCGGCGGGCGAATTTCCTATTATCTGCGCTCCCCCCAGCCCGCGCGCGCTGGGCAGTCGCGGGGGCGCGGCGCTTCAGCTAGCATGCCATCTGATCGCGCGCAACAGGGTGCGCCATAGGGGGGCAAACGCACGCCCTATGTTCGCATGGCACGGAGCGGTTCTTCCGCGCTGCACAGCGCAATTGTAGTCTCCAAAAGTAGACATCGCCGCTACCCTACATTGCACAAACAACTGAAAGTGCGCATGATACACGCGGCCAGATGCATGCCATGTCTGGTCGCGCCAGCAAGTGGGGCGTCGCGCGCGGTGTCCGTGGCGCGCGGGCGCGCGCGATGGCTGACTTTGCAGGGCAGTCTGGGGGCCGTCTTGAAAAACGAGCGCGCGAATGACGAAGTGATGACAGAAGTCGCATGCGTCAATGTGCAACCGAATCGTGACTTCGGGTGCACACTGGCTCCGTGTTGCGTTGCCAGTTTTGCCGATTTTGCAGGCGACGGCGAAGCGCTGGGCCCTGCGCGCCATGGCGGCGCGGCGCAGGAGACGTCGCGGCCTGGCCTCGCGCGTGCAATGCGCGAGATGCCGCGGTTCCGCGTGTTGGCCGCAGTCGCAGCACAGGACGTCCAGGCGTGATCCTGGGCATTGGTTCGCGCGCTCAAGTGTCGCTCACTTGCGTGCGCAAGTGTGGCTCGAGTGTAGCCCAGGTATAGTTCAAGTGCGGTTCAGGTGAAGCCCTTGTAGTTTAAGTGCGGTTCAGGTGTAGTTCAAGTGTAAGCAAAGTGTAGTCAGCTGTAATTCAGGTGGGCTTCAGATGTAGTGAAGGTATAGAAGTATGCGGCAATTTGAAAAACGAGCGCGCGAATGCCGAAGTAATGGCAAAAGTAAGGCGCGTGAATTTGCTACCGAATGGTGACTTCGGACGCGCGCTGGTTCCGCGTTGCTTTGCCGGCTTAGCCGCGATTGCGGGCGACGGCGAAGCGCTGGGTCTTGCGCGTCATGGCGGCGCAGGAAACGTCGCAGCCTCGCGCGTGCAGCGCGCGAGACGCCGCGGTGCCGCGCGTGGACCGCAGTCGCAGCACAGGACGTGCTGGCGTTATCCTGGGTTTTGGTTCGCGCGTTCAAATGTCGCCCGCTTGCGTGCGCAAGTGTGGTTCGAGTGTAGCCCGGGAGAAATTCAAGTGCGTTTCAGGTGTGCATTCGTAGTTCAAGTATGGTTCAGGTGTAGTTCTAGTGTACTAGTGTAGGCAAAGAGTAGTTCAAGTGTAGTTCAGGTGTGTGTTCAGATGCAATTCTGGTGTAGTTCAAGAGCGCGCGAGGTGTAGTCCCCAGTGCAGTTTATGCGTCGTTCAAGTGCAGAGCATGTGAATTTTAAGTGTAGGCCAAGCGGGGCCAAGAGTAATTCAAATGGGAGTCGAGTTTCGTCCAAGTGTAGTTCAAGTGTGGGGGAGGCTAGCCCTGGTAGTTCAAGCGCAGCGCAAGTAAGTGTAGTTCAACTTTAGAGCACGTGCAGTTCGAGTGTAGCTTAAGTGCGATTAGAAGGTAGTTCGGGCGAAGTCCCAGTGCGGTGCAGGCGCAGCCTTTGCAGTTCAAGTGTAGTGAAACTGTTGTTCCAATGTAATTCAAGTTCAGTTCAAGTGTATTTTCAAGCGCAAGCCCTGTGTAACTCAGGTGCAGTTCCCGCGCGGTACAGGCGTGACCCTTGTAGTTCAAGTGTAGTAGTTCAAGTGTAGCTCAAGGTGGTCAAGTGTAGTTCGAGTGCAACTCCCAAGTGTAATTGCAGGGTAATTCTAATGTGGTTCAGGTGTAGTCCAACAGTAGTTCAAGTGTGTCTCAGGCGTAACCATTGTAGTTCACACGTAGTTCACATGTAGTACACGTGCATGTCAACGGTAGCCCAAGTCTAGTTCAAGTGTAGTTCTGGTGCAGTTCAAGTGTGGTTGAGGTGCAGCCCTTGCAGTGCAAGTGTAAGCCAGGTGCTGTTCAAGTGTCGTTCCGGTGTGCTCCACATGTAGTTCAAGTGCAATTCAAGCGTGGTTCAAATTAAATTCAGGTGTAGTGTAAGTGTGGGTCAAGTGTAGTCCTTGCAGTTCGTTTGCGTTGCAAGCGTGGCGCATATGTAGTCCAAGTGGGATTCATGTCTAGTTCAGGTTAATCCGAGTATGGTTCGAACGTAGTCCAGGTGTAATCCAAGTGCGGTTCAGGGGTAGCCCTTGTAGGTCAGGTGTGGTTCAGGTGTAATTCAGATCTACTTCGAATGTGTGTTCAGGTGAATTGAAATGTAGTGCAAATGTGGTTCAAGTGTAGTTCAGCAGTGGTCCAAATGCAGTTCCAGCGCAGTCCTTGCAATTCAAATCTAAGTCTCATGTAATTCGAATGTAGTTCAAATGTCGTTCGAGTGTTGTTCAGGTGCGCATCAAGTGCAACACCAGTGTAGTTCAAGGGTGGCTAAGGTTCAGCCATTGTAGTTCAAGTGTGGACCAGCTGTAGTTAAAATATA